AGTCCGTGTTGTTAGTTAGTCTACAAGTATAACAAGTATACATGTAAATGTTTAAATATAAAACTTTAAAACTTTTATTTCAAAAACAATTACTTATTTTAGGTTTCGAAATAAAATGTAATTAAAAGTGTAATTAAATGGAATTAAAATATTTTTTAAGAGTATAGATTATACTTTTTGAGTAAAAAATTATTTTGGTGGTTGAAAATTGATGGCACCGAATAAGTAAAACTTTATGATTTTAAGCAAAAATTCATTATTAATGGTTGAAGCATGTGTGTATAAATAAATTTTAAATATTGTTAATAAATAATTTTTAAAGGATTTGAAAATATCAGGAAGGAGAAGCTATATTATTAAATCTATTCAAGTTTTTTTTAGTTAGAGATTGACTTATTAAAAAGTTGGCTCTTCAAATTTTAAGTAACAAAATTTCAAATTGTTTTTAGCCCTCAAGTTACCATAACTATACATTATTAGAAAACATGATAGCAGTTTTCATGATAAAATTGAAAGCGGTAACAACATTTAGAATCATTTCTCGTGAAATATTACGCAGCGTATTATGCACGGTAATCAAATATTATGGCTTTCTCTTCAAAATTGACCTAATAATCTTTGACAGTATACCCTTTTATATGTTATACAAACTTAATAGCCCCGTGATAGCCGTAAATATTATTATTAAAGCATTTAAAGAGAAAGACCTCCACCTACAGAGCTACTCCTTCAGATATTTTTGAAATATGCTATTCCTCAAATATTTTCAATTTTTTCAAAAATCTTGCATAATACCTATACAAGGTACGACGATCATAACATACAAAGTAGAAAAATTTTTGATATTTTGAATTAAAACTTATAGCTAATGGTGAAATCTACAATCTAAATTGATTGTCATTATAGGAAGAAGTTAAAGACGTTGCGTGATTGATTTTTTGTTTCAACTTTATAGTCTCGTTATTCCTAAATTTTAAAAAAAATTATACCTTTTATATTTATTTATACAAAAATTAAAATAAAAAACACACTGCGAATTGACTACCGAACTCCTACGATTTTATTAAAATTTTATATTAAACTTCCAAAATGTGCTACAGAGAAGTATTGTAAGAGATTCTTTTCTATATTTTATGTATAACAATATTCTGAAAGCATTTACTCTGTTCTATTAATTTTGAACATTACCGAAAATATTTATCATTTATTTCTAGCTTGTACTACAATTAATGCCATGCTTATAGTACCAACTAAAATATAGAATAGCCAAAAAGAAAATCACTATACAAAATCGCATATAATATATAATTGCGGAAATCTAAGACTCCATACTATTTCCTAAAGAAAAAAACAAAAAATAAATTTTAATTTTTTACTTTATTAAATTCAATGCCATTAATTTAAAGTGTAAAAATGAAAGTGGAATAAAAAATTCAAATTAAATTCAATGAAATTAATTTTGTTTAATGCTTAGAATAAATTTTCTCTTACACACACTTTACTTAATTATAAGTTTTAATGTTAATAGTTATGTTATAATCAATGTTACAAGTCTCTATGTAAGTATCCTATGAATATTTAATGTTACTGTTATACGGTACATATAGCACTTAAGTAAATTTTTTAAAGGTTTATTTAGAAGACCAAAAAAGAGAACTGAAGAAATTGTAAACAGCTAGTTTCAATTTAAGGTGTATAATTTTTTTGTGGTTTTAAAAGTGGGTCCAGCTTATAAATTCTTCTTGTTCTAATATTGTGCTTGTTATTATTAACGTTACTATTATTATTATTACTGTTAACGTTCTATATTTATTAATCAAAAAATTAAAATCATTTGAATGGTAGCTTTTGTTAGAAAATTAGTTCAGGTTTAATTTTTATTTAGTTCTGATGAAAATATTTTGGTCGTCACGAAAATTTAACTTAATTTTGTGTTATTTTTTTTTTTCACTTTTTTTTATACTCTATATACATTAATATTATAATTAAGCATGATGATAATAACTAATATTTTTTATGTATGTATATACCTATGTATATATACAGTAAAATTAAAGGACATCGTCGTCAGTTTTAGTAATTATGGAAAAAAGAAAAGAAAAGAAAGGTAAAAAAAAATTTAACACGCGCCTATGTTTGTTATGAATATGGAAGAACAAGAAAAAAATTACCAACATTTTATATAAGTACTCGGATGGTGAACTTAATTTGTAGTTCCATTTATAATATGAATCCTTTTACAAAGCGTATTTATTGCTTAAAGTTTTTCTATTATTAAATAAAAATATTGAACTTTTCACTAGAGAAATAAATTCGGAATTCATTTCGATGGCATCTGTTCTAAGTAATCTAAGGATAAAAATTTAAACCAACCTAAAAATTAAGCCCTAAATCATGGAAACAGGATGGATAATTTTCAAAATCAATAATACTGACAATAAAGTAATTGTGTTTTATCTATTTCAATTGAAAAATAAAATTTTAACCAAATAACCATAGAAAAATAGAACTTTGGCCAAATAATGAAATGTAAAAAATTTACTTTGAACTTGAAAAACTTGGGTCTAATTTAACATTTATAGCATAACAATGACCTTGTAGGTAAGTTAAGATAACAAAATAGAAACGTGTAAAACCTAGTGTTGAAACTTTCACTCGTTACAATAAAAATAATCTCCCTCTACAAAATAGTTTTGTTGCGTTCGTTCTCTGGACCAAAAATGTACTGGATTTTCTTCATAATCGTAAACTGAAATATTTATAGAGTACAGGAGTGAATATAAGAAATTTAGATTTCAAAAATTTTCATAATATCGTTAAAATGTTAAAAGTAATTTATCCCATTTACTGTGTTTGTGCTTACACGATCAAACTTAATATTTCTATAAATATATAAAGTGTTATCGTATCTGATTTTGAATTAAAATGAAAAATAAGAAAATACTGACTAAATTTAATTAAAAAAATTTGGTAAAAATAAAAGAAATATTTTACGAATTGGAAAAATTAACGTTCTGAGCTAAGATTAATGGCTGGTGTGCATTTTAATTATGAAAAAAGGTAATTAAAACATAAAAATTACAAAAATTGGAGTACTCGTATATTTGCTAGGTTTCATATTTATTTTGCCACAATTAATGTTGTTATTTTATTCAGAAAAAACCCCGCTATACAACGAGGAGCAACGAGGTAATTTTGCTTTGAAATTCAAATTTTGCCGAATTTTATTCTTTCTAAGAGGTTTCAGAAGGTGTTCGTCGCATACTTACTTAAAATTTTTATAACTTTTTTCTTAAACAAAATCTACGCCTTAGAGTTGTAAGGAATATTGTTTTATGCTTATAAAATATTTTGAATATTTATTTTATATTTAAGAATATAACGTGTTGAACGAAACAATTTGCGTGCCAATAATGAACTCTAAAATAAAAATAATAAAAATTGATTAAGTTTCTTCGATATGAATTCATTTGGTTCCTTTAAGTTAACCTCTCACTTTTCTTCCACCACCCGTTTATTACTTCTTCCATTTTTATTTTCTTTCTTATATTTTCATTTATAAAAAGTTAAATTTGTGTGTTTTTTGTGTGTCGAGATAAATGCGTGTATATATTATGCGAACACGCTAAGAGCAATGAATTAATAAAACAAAAAAAAAATAAAACAAGGAAAACAACAGAAAAAAAGAAATTATGAAAATGAATAATGATGACTTTTGACACGAAAATTATATACTTATTCTATATACTTTGAAATGTATAAATTTAAAAGAAAAAGCGTTTCAAAATTTCATTATAATACGGGTATATCCTTACACCTCTCCTTAAAATTTATTTACCAATTTCCCTATATACAGGTGTAGAATTTTCTATTGAATTAAAGGAACAGAATGAATTTCTTTTTGATGAATCAATGAATGGACATACTAGCTATTTTGTAATAATTTGAACATGGAAATGAGTGTATAAGCAACAGCTAAAACTATTAAAATACAATATAAATAAAATGGAGAAAAGAAAACGGCTCACCTCATATAACATATTATATAGGCTAGCTTGTATGCCATGCATTATTGTATCATAGTATATACTTAATAGAAAATCATATAAAATGGATGAAGAATAAAATATTAAATATTAAGTGACAGGAACATTAATGTAACAATTTGCAGGAAATTAAGAATAAATAACCAAAACAAAAAAAAAAGGTAAATGTGTCTATACTTACATATTTTGTATATAAAACAAAAGTTTTATGAATTGGTGTAATTGTATTTGTGTGTGCATATTATATTGATTATATTTTACAACTACAATAAATGATTATCCTTAATATTTAAATGTTTACTTCGAAAAATGGAAGTGTTATTAAAATTATCTTATTACTATTACAAAAAAATTTCATTCTACACGTGACGACTATTGATTTCTTTTCCTATTCAGAGAGATCGCAAAGGGCAAAGTGAGATGAATATTCTGTTCTCTATATGCTCTGCCTTCGCACGGGCTACTGGAAAATATTTTTTTTATTGCAAAATTTTAGAATTTTAAAAAAAAAAGTATTCCTATATTATTTTGAGCCATTTCGTAAGAAAGATATTGAAAGAACGGGTGAGCTGTCGTCATTTAAAGCTGCTTAATACCGAAAATTATGATTTTATGTTAGATATAGTCAAAAATATATGTACCTTACAATGATTACATCATTAATTGAATTTAATTTGAGATCTTATAAAATTTTAATGTATAGACTCCAGGACCAGCTTTTTTAAGGTAATTATCTCAAGAAAAAAATATTTTTAAATTTTTACTATATTTTTTTTTATTCTCCTTATTCGCTCCTGGGAAGAAGCATATAGGGCTGATGTATGATATTGTTTATTAAGATTCATTTTGGCTTACAATTAATCTCATATTTCAACATTTATTGCTGAGCTTGGCTGGAAACAAATAAAAATCCAAATATTAATAATTTTTTTTGTTTTTAATATTATTGTGGAAAGCAAGTTCACAGATGACTTATGTAATTATTAAAAATTTATACGAGTATAAAATTATAAAATTTTTAAGATTAAAATTTCTAATTCTTAAAAAAAAATACGAATAAGGCATTAAAAATTGAGTATAATAAATTTTTGTCTTATCTTTAATAAAAGATTACTAAGCTGCTTAATATCAACAATAAGCCTTTATAATATTAAAATTTCATATATAGTTAAAATGAAGCATTTTCATTATTAAATGGATATTTTGCTTCAATATTTTTAAAGAAATCATCATTTCTACCAGCTGAAGTTTTATTCTTAATTAAATCTTCATATATTAAAATATTTGTAAATACTGTTGTAAAACCATCAGAACAATATTTTTCACTATTTAAACCAACACTTATTACACCAAGTAGAAAATATCGTTCTATATCTCCAACACGTTTTTTTACTACAAATCCACCGCCACTATCTCCTTGGCATGCAGTTGAACCTTTCTCATTAATAGCACAAAATTTTTCATTTGTTATTTCTGATTTATCTCTTGGTCCAACTATTGTTCTACATTGTTTATTTGTTACAGTAGTAAAATTTGCTGTTAATAATTCATTACTGATTTCATCATCAATTGATGTTGCACCCCATCCAACAATATGACCTTCTAGATTTTCAGGAATTATATTTGAACTAAAATCAATACATATCGGTTTAACTAATGGTGTATATCTTAAATGATGATCGAGTATCAAAACTGCTACATCATTTTTAATTGGAAGTTGCTCATAACTAAAATTGACCAAATTATACAGATTAATATGATTAAAAAATTAATTAATTAATAAAATATATTCGAAATAAAAATATCGAATCACGTGCTGTGATTCAGAATATCAAAGACCATAACATGCTTACTTATGAGGTATATGTATACTAAGTACATTAGCATATTGTTCAGATTCTTCTTGTGTTTCATACTGCCGATAAAATTTACCAGCAGCAATTAAATAATTCGATGCATTATTAAGTCTATTTGTACCAGTATTGTAAAAACAATGTGCAGCTGATAGAACCGTGTTGGAATGAATTAAAGTGCCACCACATATTTGCATAACTGTTTGTTTTCTTTTATCAATTAAGTATATAGCAACATGCCATGGTGCAAATCCAGTATGTGTTTTACTACCTCTATGTATTAGAGTTGTTTGTTTTGGACGATAATTTGGATCTATTTCACCACATACTAAATTACAATTATTTGCTTCACCATATCTATAAAACCATCTGTTTAAGAAAAAACAACGTGCAATATGATCACTAGTAGGTGAATTTGTTTGTTCATAACCAATTTGACATCTTAATAATGCAGAATCAGCTCTATTTTTACATATTGTAGGTGGTCCTGATTTATCATGAAAACATTCTACTTCCATTCTTGTATAATCTACTCTTGGTACAAAGCAATTTTTTTCTTGTAACGGAAGAACTTTTTCGTACCACCTAAAATATTTTTAATTTTTAAAAATTAGAAAATCTGAGTTTAATCTGTTTTGATTTTTTACCTTGGAAAATTAAGACGAAGATCAAAATGTAAGAGTTTTAAAATTCCCTTATCTTTCTCTGAATAAACTTTATCACAAGCTGGTAATGTAACATCATCAAATTGAATATAATGTACTGGATCTATATGTACTATGGTTGTTGAATTTTTAGTTTCTTCCTCAGTTTCATTTGGAACTTTAAGAAAGAGTTTATGATTATTGGCACCTTTATCTTCATAATGTATATAATATTCTTTAGGTTTTTTATATTTTAATCTTGGAATTCGTATTATAAAATTCTTCTCATTAAATCCATTCTTTAGGAATTCTTTTTTCGTTGCAACATGTCTTTCAGCAAAAATAATACTTGGATAAATATTTTTTATTGTATTATTTGGAGCAAATTCAACTATTTCAGCATACCATGGAGGATATTCTTCTTTTGGATTATTAATTAAAGTAAATGATACGGGACTATCATCACATTCTGGTCTACATGTAAAAATGCTATCAGTCCATTCTCCATCATTACAATCAATAATTAATTGAGAAATATTTTTATCATTATGATATTTATTTGAACATTGAATATATGCTCTGGTAACTGGAAATGGTGTTCCTAAACATGATGTTGATACACCGTTATCTGCCTCACAAAAAACTTTACGATCAATATAACGAAAATCTTCAAGATCACATAATTTAGAAGATGTTTGATCAATGAATATCGTTATCATATAAAACACAATGAGAGTAAATGAATTTCTAGAATTTGTAAATTTCTTCTCTTTCATGTTTACACAATATTGAAAAATTCCAGTTTAAATCTATCAAGTGTTACATCACTCTTGATATAAAGAAGTAAATAGATTTTTTTTAATGTTAGTCAATTGAACTGATAATTTTATTAAAAATAATATTAATATATTTATTTTTGCACTTCATCCGTTATCGTAGTCACTGATTATTTTTTACAAAAATTCGAAACATTACTGTAAGATTTTATTATACAAGAACTTTTTACAACTTACGGTTACATTCATACATATTCATTAAATATTTTGTATAGAGAACATTCTTATCGCTAAAAACCCAATTACCTACATTTCATTTTAATGTTTTAGCGATGTTAAAACAAAAGCTAAATTGTTAAATTAAATGAACACACTTTTAGGATGATTTCAAGATTGAAGATATTGTTAAAAAAATTTTGAAAGTAAGGCAAATTTTGTCGTATAACAATAACATAATTCTAATTATCATTTAAAGTTAAGGTATTTGGAATCGTATGCTCAAACGACGTGGTCTAAATGATATTCAGTAGTTTTATGTAATTTAGTTTGAAAACTATTAAAGTGAAGCATTTCCAAATTCGTTTCCAAATTCATATATGGCGCATAAAATGTTTGCAATTTAAATGAAATTTTTAATTGGAAGAGTATATAGAGAAACAGACAGACAAACTAAAAGGAAGTTGATAATTAATTTCGAATAATGTAGAAAACTACGAAAAAATTCTCAAGATTTTTTTACCTTACAAATATTAATTTTACAAAAAACTTGTAATTCTAGTTTCTTGTTTATATGCTCAAACGAACAATGTTCTTGGAAGGTATTGCAAGTTTGTCATTTCGTTTGTGATGCTTATAAGAAATTAGAAACCAATTTTAGCTTATTATGAATAATTCGGTATTGTATTCATTTTTATTGGAGTAATAATTTTGTTAATAAGTCGTTAATAGTTCAGTTACAGCGTGTTAATATTTTTGTTATCGCTCAAACATAATTCAATTCACATCGACGGATTCTGTATCCCGGGGCAAACTATTATAATTATTCGAAAATCAGCTTTTTTTCTTGAGTATAATATTCTGCGTATTTAAGTTGTAAGTTATTAAAAATTGTGAATTTTGAATTTTACTGAAAATTTCTTTAATTTCTTTTTTATGCTAATTTTATATTTATTCTAAATAAAATTTCACGAAAACAAGTATTTTGGCAAGTTTTACTTGACAGCTATTTAGCATAATCTTGCTTAGAATGAATATTTTCCGATATGCTTGAATAGTTTTGGGTTTTGCCAACAAAAAGTTGCATTGTGATTATTATTGAAGTTGTAGAAAAGCTTTTATTCCGCATAATAAAAAAAATATTTTGTGCATTGTAAATTTTTTGTAGTAATACTAGTTTTGTAACTTATTACAACAAACATATTTATCGTAAGCTTTATATTATCGTAATTTAAATAAATCACTCAAATACTGGTAGGCGCGTGTTAAAAACTTTTTTTATTATTTTTGATTGATAATACAAGCTTTAATTTTGTTGTTTGTTTCTTCTTTTTGAGTGAATCTTCAATAATTCATTTTTCTATTGTAGTGTACGTAAAGCTTTCCGTAAAACTATCAGATCAATCATTTAATTACCTATGAAATAAACAGAAAATAAAAATTTTAAATAGTGTTTAAGTACGTATTTTCTAATCAAAATTTGAATTTATTTTTGAAATCATTGTGTTTTGAATTCTAATTAAAAGCACGAATTTTATATGACGTAAATTTACCAAAATACACCTCTTTACTAGATATCACCTGCATTGGCTAGGGAAATCGGGCTCTGCTCAGTGCAGATTTTACGGGGGCGGTGCTGAAACTGTCGTGCACGCCCTTTTCGACTGCCCGGTACTGGCTGTCCGACGGCGCAATTGTTTTGGATAGGGTTTCTTAAGTATTTAGAAATCGCTGTCCAACTTCCTTAGGGATGTCTCCGGTTTCACATTTGGAACGGGAATATTGTAAGAGGTACGTGGGAAGGCTACTATAACTCGCGAATGGCTGCGGTGGCCCGGCGAATATTCCTGCTCCACTCGATTCCCTTGAAAATTTACCTAAATATAAGGTGTCGTTTATTGGTAAATTTATGATTCATCCCAAAAATAAAGCGCATATTGATTTTTCGTATTCAAATAAAATGCTTCATTTTAGCTTGTATCGTTACATTTAAACAATTCCGAAAGAAATTGTGAAAACTGAATGCATTTTGAACGAGGAATTGTGTCGAATAACTAGCAGAATATGAGTGACATTTTTTAGACATAAAAGTATCAACATATAATTGAAGTAATAACACAAAAGCTTGAGAATTTAATGGAGAGAAAACCTTTTTGATTAACACTGATTTACATTATTTTGGAAGAACGGGATTGGATGAAAATACTAAAGCAATGTTTTCATTAGGAAGTCACGATAATTTTACCTTTTAAAATATTGTTCAGCTCAAAATGGTGTACAAAAATGGTATGACAAAGTTTTGCAGTAGAGGGTTAATGTTATTTTTAATAAAATAAGTTATAAAAATTATTCGTTTCGCTACAAAATTTTTTTATGTAATATTCAAACATAATAAACAATATAATAAATATGTGTTGCGATGAATATGTAACCGATGTTATATAATGCAATATTCGTTTATTGGTAGCCTTTAAATTTTGTTTGCTCTTGAGAACCAGTTTTGTTCACTTTGCAATAGGAAATTGAGTGAATTGTAAAAAGAGAACAAATGCAAAAAAGAAGAAATGCATTCATCGCTTAAGTCAATTAACTGGTATTAAATTAAAATATTTAGGTATAGCGACTTTATTACGCTCAAATAACTTATTATGCATTTGTAACGTATGCAGTTTATTAAAATATTCTCTAGTCTCTACAGAAATTATGTATTTATAAATTTTAATAAACTTTCATATAAAAAATGTATAATGGTTGAGTTAAAATGTTATGCAAGAATCTAGGCAGTAATGAAATAATTTCTTTATAGAAATTATTCTTTAACAATTCGTTAAATTAATTGAGAGGTTAAGTAAAGGACTGATTTGCGTTTATAGTCTATCAGTGTTTTTCCTTTGTTTCGTAACATGTTTGTAACTTTGTTTCATACAACGCTCCTAAATTTATTCTTCCAAAGTAGAGAAGTCATAAAGGTATATAGATCTATTTTTTATTAATGAGACTTTTTTAAATGCTTGTATGGAAGATTATCTCTTGCAGTATTAAGCCAAGAATTTGTGTGAAGTTTCAATTACCTAGTTCTTTCCGTTCTGAATCGGCTTCTGAGTTCGTTGCTATAGGTAAGAATATTTATAATTCTAAATTCACATTCGCATTTCTATTCACATTGCTGGAATTATTTTCCATAGAGATATTCGTTGTTTTAATTGTTTAAAGTATAATTTTAATACTCTTGTTTCATAATGCATATTTTTTGTGAAGTCTGCCTAAAATCGATCTGATTTCATATGTAGGGTTATGATTATGTTTCTTAAATTTCGTATTTCTTATAAATGAAATTTAAACTATTGTTTCCTGTTCTATATAGTGTTATTCTTAAATTTTTAATATTGTGTTGGCAAATCCTTACTATCACTCCTGCCTTTCATATTGTTATACTAGTAAATTGAACAAATTTTAAATTAAAAATGTTTTTGCACTGATGAAATTTTGTTTTTAATTTTTATTTTTCCATTTCAACGTTTTCTTTATTTTCTTTTTTATTTTTAATTTCTAGACATTGAAGATGGTTTTACAACCAAAATTTTTGAAGTAAAAAAAAAGAAAGGATCATAACATAAATTTCTTTTCATCATCATCATCATCATCAACATCTTATATAATTGCAGAAATTTTTACATTGCATATATCTAAAAAAATATAATATTATTAAAATACATTATGAAGAATGTTTATACATAGAAATATTGCTCATATATAAGGAAAATTATATATTTGGAGAAAATTATCATATGAATAACTGCCAAGTGCCAATTATTGAAACAGGGTGATTAAAAGAGCGAAGATTAAAATGTTTGAACACATTCGTACATTTCGTTCAATGAGTTTCCATTAAAAATACTATTAAATAACTTTCAAGAGAAAAATCGAGAGAAAGTTGCAAATACAGACTTTCTTCAGCCATCAATTTCTCTTGGACAATTGAAGTTTTGTAATTTTTATAGCTGATACAAAGGCGAAATTTAAACATTTTGGAATATGATTCAAAAATTTACATGGATTCTGAAAAAGAAATTTTCGATTATGATTTTGAGTACAAGTCCATTCAAGGATATCATACAGAAATGTAAAATAAGTCATGCATTTTTCAATTAATAAGCAAAATTTTTAGGAAAATTGGACAAAATTTCAAAGTGCAAGAATTTATGTGAAAAACACATGATATAGTTAGTGGCTTGCGTTTGACTAATGTTGCTGACTCTGAAAGGTTTTGATTTTAAACTGTGTTCGGCCCATGGGAATGTGTTCATTTTCATAGGAATATGTAAATTATTACCGTCAGTTGGAGTCACAATCTATATTTCGTGTGACTAATGTTAGTTTATAGGAGGCAGTCCTTATGCTACTACGGGAATTCAAATATAAAAAAACGTACACTTATGTCGATTTGTTTTTTTCATATACCTACTTAATCTTATTAGTGAATCACTCTGTAAATTCTAATATAACCACTAATACACTAAGTATAACCAAATTTTTATTCTGACCAATAGTTTATTTATATTTTTTTTTGTCTTTTTTGTGTTCTTTTCTTCCATAAATATAGCTATGTAATATTTTTGAAAGTCGAAGAAATTTTCTGGCTTTATAAAACCTCAGAGTAACATATTAAATAAAATTTATGATCACAGGTGTTACACAATTGATTTATGCACCTTTATATATTATAGCCCTTTTCTAAATACAAAACGAAAAAAAAAGCAAAAACATAAAAACTTTACAATATGCGAATAATTTTTTTGGACTGTTCGTTCTTTGTATAATATGTAAGCAGTTGTATGTGAATATGTGATAATAAAAGTAAAATTTTGATAGCCTTGCGGGTGGCGGCAGTATAAATGAATATTGTACTAAGTTAAAGATGAATAAAATTGTAGAATAGATGG